ATCTCTCTTCCTTTTGTTGACAGGTTTAAAATTGTTTACTCTCCTTTGCAACTGCCCCCTATCTCCCACCCACCTTGTATTTGTCATCTATCCCTTGTTTACTTCTTCCACTTCTCCCACTCACAGCCACCTTCTTGCCATTCCTCCCTTGAAGCCTCAGGGCCTCTGTCTCCCAGCTACTACCTTGGATCTAATAAAAGTTTGCCCTAGCAAAAGGCTCCTCAGACATCATCATAGAATCATCATAGAATCCCTACAGTGTAGAAACAGGGCCTTCGGCCCAACAAGTCCACACCAACTCTCAGAGCATCCCACCCAGACCTATCCCCCTATAATCCACCTAATCTACGCATCCCTGAACACTACGGGCAATTTAGCATGGCCAATTCACCTAGCCTGCACATCTTTGGACTGCGGGAGGAAACCGGAGCACCCGGAGAAAACCCACGCAGATACTGGGAGAACGTGCAGGCTCCACACAGACAGTCGCCCAAGGGTGGAAACGAACCCGGGTTCCTGGCGCTGTGAGGCAGCAGTGCTAACCACTGAGCCAACGTGCCACCCCCAGTCCAGCAGAAAGACCCCAACAAAAGCCTGCTCCATCACACTCACTTAAGCAAAAGGCTCCTCCAGTATTCTGTTAAATTTCTTTATTGTTTAATCAACTGGTCACTGCTCCTCCAGTGGCAGGTTGTTTCTTTACCATATTTATCACTGATAGGTTCAGTGAACCTATGAGCTCAAAATGCAAGCCATAACCAGCCTGTCATTGGAGGTGCATTTCCTTACCAATTTGATCAGTTGTGTTCTGAGATTGTCCCGTGATTGAATTTTCCAACTCATTTTGTGGTCTTTCAGGGATGAATTTGTCCACAGCCCATGTTTTGCACACTTTTGTTAGATCTTCATACCTTTCAAAAACATTTGAGTAGAACTTAAAGGACAAACTGGAGAAAATCCAGTAATATAAACTTGCACAAGAGTGCGCCTAAGGGCGGTACAGTGGCTCAGTGTTTGGTACTTCTGCCTCACAGTGGTAGGGTCCCAGGTTCACTTCCAGCTTGGGTGTCTGTGTAGTTGCATATTTCCCTTTGTTTGTGTGGGTTTCCTCTAGGTATTGCAGTTTCCTCCCACAGTCTAAAGATGTGCAAGTGGGTTGGCCATGCTAAATTGCCCATAATGTCCAGGGATGTGGAGGCAAGATGAATTAGCTGTAGTAAATGTGAGGTGGTGGAGATGGGTGAGAGTGGGTCTGGATGGGATGCTCTTCGGATGGTCAGCGCAGACTTGATGGGCTGAATGGCCTCTTTCAGCACTGTAGATTTTGTATGAATCACTTTGATTCTAATCAGTTACCCAGATTTTGTAATTTCTAACACAAATAGCTTTGAAAGAATGGTTATACTTGAAAATCTTATTGGGAATAAAATTTGTTTAATTCCTTTACATGAAGAGAGAGGAGGGGTGGAATTGAATCCTGTTTCGGCCTCTGTTAAAATTGTGATTTAAATATTTCCATTTTGATACTTGAAATTCTAATATGACTACTTCTAATGTTTCAGCATCAACAATGTACAGCAGTTTTCAGTAGGATAAAATTTACTCGGTTATTATTGACAGCCCTGATTGCTTTTACGAAGAAAGAGGTGAGACATATTATTTGTGGGGGCTTTTCAACATAATCAAAATGAACAAAATACTTGTTTCTAGAATAATTTTCATAAATTGAATCTGCTTAAGAGCAAAGGATCTACTGAAGTCAATACACAAGTTTTCATCACTTTACAGGATTTCTTATCTATTGGCATGTTGATAGAGGCCTTTTTCAAACGTGTGCTGGTGCTTGATTGAAAACACAGAACCTTAGAAGTGATTTATTTTCTATTATTGAAAATGCAAGCAAGGGCTAATCCAAAGGCTGAAATGGCTCATGAAGCATGTGTCAGAACCATAATGGCTGTGAATATGTTAGGTTTTATGTACACTCTTTTTCAATACTGATCTCAGCAACTTTAGTTTTGAAGATGGTACGGTTGACATATGCACCAGTTCCTTTCTTGAATATCATCTATAGGAAACCTGCTGGAAATGCCCACAGTGGATGTTCTCCATTAGTCATGTAGTGCCTAATACCTGTTCTCGAGGTAAATGAGAAAAAATGGAGAAGGATAAATCAGAGGCCATGGATTAAAGCAGGGATAAGAAAATTTCATTGTTTGGCTGATTTCCAACTTCTACATCTCGGAAATCTGACATCTTAAAAGATCTATTCCAACCTTCTAACCAGGCTGGAGATCAAGTTTTTCATCACTCTAATGGTTGTCTGGGCTCTCAACCATGCGTTATTATGTATTCTTGGTTGAAATCCCAGATAACCATTAGTCTCTTGAAACACATCTTTGCGTTGCAAATGGCATGAACTATGAGCCCTTCTAAGCCAACAGGGCACCTGGACCTTGGCGAATGGTGGGACCAATAGTTCATCTGCAGACTAATTAAATTTGAGGATCGAGGAAAGAAACTTAAGAAACGGGGAAGGGAATAATGTGGATTCCAGTTAGATCAGCTGCAGAAAGAAATTGAAGGAAATAAAAGGAAATGGCAGGAGAAATAAAAAAATTACACTTGACATATTAAAAATCTCCAGCATCCCAACTGAAGCAATGAAATTTAAAATTCTCATTTTCAACCAACAAGAAATTGTTTGGCAATGATTAAAAGGATATTGATGGCTGAAGCCATGGAGTGCAAGTCTGAGAGTGTTTTTGGCTGCCCTACACATTTTGTTGTTCCTGGTTTTCTATGGCGCCTCTCAACCTGTCCATAGAGACAGCAAGGCGAATGCTGTCAGAGGCCAGCATAGTACAAGACCGTGTTAGTGGACTGCTCCAACCTTCAATCCAGTTTACCAAGTGTTTATGACAGCCCTGTTCCTGTAACTACATGTGCATACGTATGAAGTAATTTATGGCTGACACCGTGGGGTCCCCTCCTGCCTGAAGTAGAGTAGATGTCTGGTCTCTGGCTGTCGTCTGAGTGCCAGAGACCTTGGGCGTTCCTTTCTTGACTAGATGCAGAGATATGCCTGCTAGAAAGCGTTCCCAAATCTAACGTAGATAGAGAACTAGCGAGGTAAAAGTCTCTGAACTAGTGAAGTGTGTAGGAGAAAGGCTTATTGGTGCATTCCCTAAGGGCTGTGTGGCTTCTTCCTCAGATGTGGCAGAGGAACTGATTGCCCAAGTGGCTGACACGTTTGGAGTGATTTCTGTGTAAATGTTCCAAGTGCCTGCTAGGAATAGATAGCCATTAGTTGTGCAATTGGGGTTGAAGCTGACTGGTTTGTCTTGACCTGGAAGTCTCAGTCTCAGTCTGTCCACATGAGCAGTCCCTGTCCTCCCCAGCTATCTCAAGGGTCTCCTTACAGATATATCAACCACATTGCTGACTGTTGTTACACACTACTCAATAATGAGATGTTTTCTCTTGCTGTGAGACCAAGAGAGGGATTGAGTTTGATGAAAGTGAATGGAAGAACTGCTCATGGTTTTGCAGGAGCAGCAGATATGGTGAGGTGTCCCAAATGAGTGAGTGGAAGGTGCAGAGGGCAGGAAGGTTTAATAGTTTAGGATCACGAGATGGATGAGAGTTATTGAGTGCAGCATGCTATGGTGAAAGTTGTGGTCAAATTAACCTTAGTGATGCTGCTGTATAGTGGCAGAATTAGTGTGTGAGGAATGGGGAGAAAACAGTGGTACTTCCCGTTGAGGATTACAGAAGATCGTTGACCACCTTCCAGGACTACTTGGCATTTCACTTGGTGCGTGAAATGGCACCCACGCTGCTATCTGGGCTGTGAATGGTACTGGGGCCTCCGTTGACAGTCCACAAGAAGGAGGATATCCCTTGTCTCTTAACACCCCATCCACCAGCACCTCCAGGTTACTTTCTCCAAAGCAGGATGCTGACTGCCCTTTCTGTGACATCTTGTCACCAATAATGGTGGAGCAGCAGACTAAGAAGGACAGTTCCCAGCATGCATCATTTAAAGTATTGAACAGCTGTTTTTCTTTTTAAATGGCGTCCATGGCGCAAGTGCCTGGCAATGGTGAACATTTCAGTCTTTGCATTGAATGAGAAGAGTGCCTTAGAGCCTGTTGCATAATTAGTGAGGTGAGCAGTGCAAGATCACATGAGGAGAGTCACCACAGGTCATGGTGGGGAACCCCTCAGAAGCTTGCTGGAAATAATATTTTGCTAAAGAATGGAAAAATTCCGCTCAGTATATATGAACATAAATATTTTTATAATGGATTTTCACACAAAGAAAATAGTCTTCAATACAATTGAAATAGAATCTGGTGGCCTACAAATTAAATTCGATGTTTATATAATACAAGTATTCCCTAATGGGCATTTATGTTTAAATGTGTCTGATGGAATGAGAATGTTTCCCTTTGTGTCTAGTCATTTAAATTAGAGGCTAATAGGCATGCATAAAATGAAAGTATGTTTCACAAATGCTACATGAAATTCATTGAAGAACATTTTATTCAGCATGGAATTCATTCTAGTATGCATGCTTACTATAATTTTATTTTTGTAAGTGTATAGATACTGCTGTAATATAGGGACTGCAGAAATTAATTTGCATTCAGCAAATTCCCTCAAACAGCAGTTTGGTAATTATTTGTTCTTTTGCGATGTTGTTTGAAGGACACATATTGTTCAGGACACTGGATAACTCCCCTGCTGCTCTTCAAAATAGTGCAATTGGATCTTCTACATCTGCCAAGTAGACTGAATAGGTCCTTCGCTTTCATCATATCTGAAAAGCAGCAGCTCTTGGTAGGGATTGAACACTCACTCAGTACTGCACTGGGATGTCGGTGTTCAATCCCTACAGTAGGGCTTGAATTCAAATGTATGATTCAGAGAGAAAAGACTTACAAGGATGTTGCCAGGGTTTGAGCTAAAGGGATAAGTTGAATAGGCTGGGACTACTTGCCCTGCAGTGTCGGAGGCTGGTGGGTGACCTTGGGAGTTTATAAAATCTTGAGGGGTGTGGATAGGGTGAAGAGCCAAGATCTTTTCCCCAGGTTAGGCGAGTCCAAAACTAGAGAGCATGGGTTCAAGGTGAGAGGTGAAGGATTTAAAAGGGACGTAAGGGGCAACCTTTTCATGCAGAGTGTGGTGAATGTATGGAATGAGCTGCAGGAGAAAGTGGTAGAATCTGGTGCAATTACAACATTTAAAAGTCATCTGGTTCAGTATATGAATAGGAAGTGTTTACAGGGATATGAACCAAATGTTGGGAAATAGGACTATATTAATTTAGGCTATCTGGTCAGCATGAACGAGTTGGTCAGAGGGGTCTGTTTCCATGCTGTACATTTCTATCACTCATTGACTGTACCAGTCTTATCTCTGAGTGAGTGTATCTGTAGAGAAACTTTCTCCACAAGTCTTGCAAGTTCTTAAAAGTAATAGGAGAGACTTGAATGTTGCTTGTGTGAAGCAAACAGATGAGTGGTGTAAATCAGTCATATTCTAGAAATTCACATTCTTGGCATGTCTCTTCCCATGAATATGCTGGCTGATTTGGACACTAATAAGAGTGTGTATCAAATTTCAGTCCATTGATATAATACAGCCCCTGCCACTTAGCGGGCACATTTGTATGCACGTGATTTAGCTTTTGTACACAATGGCCTAAGTAACATTGTAGCATCAATAAGAAGGAGGTTTCCCTGCATTATAAATTGGATGGGTAAATGTTGATAAGGTGTCTCATGATATTGCATAATTGTTTTCTTTATTGTAGAGCTCTTGTTCTCCCTGATATTCTCCATGCAGCCTTTTGACTGCAATGCACTGCTCTCAGGACTATAAAATAGACTTCAAAAAGCACTTCCTCATAGTTACTCTGATCCACAGCACTGTTAATATTGTTTATTTCTGTAGGTGAGAACAAGGAGAGGTGAGATGCTGTATACAATGATTCTCCGAAAATGTGCCCATCTTCCCCCCGGCACCGACTTAAATTGCTGTTGTACAATTTCATAGACAGAAATATAGTGGAAGGCTGACAACTTTGTTTTGATGCACTGTGTGAAATAAGTTTTGTGTAGATCACTGACATTATAATGATGAAGAAAGTTTGAAACTAAAACTAAAGTCTAATGCAGTACCTTGATTTTCTAGATGAGTGCAATAAGTGAAGCCCAGAAGCTTATGACTCAAGCTTCTGATCTTCTACCTGCTGTACAAAACTCCATCCACCATGGCATTCAGGCCCAAAATGATACTACAAAAGGAGGTACAAAATAATGTTTTCTACATTGTAGCTATTTCACACGTTCCTTGAAACAGTACTGCGTTAAACCAGAAGCTGGGATTTAATGCAGAGTCAGTGGTCCTGCCCATTGGCTGGAATACCAGGTACAAATGCATTACCGTTGGCCCTAAAGCTTTGACTGAACTTTACATAAATTTGATAATTATCTGCTTGAGGTTATGATTTCCAGCTCTCTGAAACATCATATCCTGCCTCCACGAACTGCCATCCAGTCAGAAACCTGGCAATTCTTCAATCCCAGCAATGCCACAGGGAACAGTGGTCACAGCTAGGAATGCAGTTGACCTCTGACCAAAGTGTCACTGGATCCTTGGAGTTTGAGGCTTGTGTGGTAGGACAGGTGCAGTGGAAAAAACTGGAGGAGTTATGGGTTTATATTTTTCATTTCTTTTTTTTTTTCAGTTTTAAAAGCCTAGAATTTTGGAAAGGGCTGTTCTGATGCTTCTGTCTTGGTAGTGCATAATTTTGAAATTAGAATTTCATTATCTACTGGTGTCAGCAAACTCTATCACGAGAATTTAGGATCTAAACATTGCACGTGGCCCTTGAGCTCAAGATATTTGGTTGTGCAACACACTAATACCAAGCTTGGACTTTCCTAGCTTGGTGTATGAGGGTTATACCCAAGACCATAAGAAATAGGAATGGGAGGAGGCCTTTTGGCCCCTCAAGCTTGCTGTGTATCATGGCTGGCACGATACTCCTCACACCCACTTCTTTGCCCTTTCCCCATTACCCTTGATTCCCCAACTGATCAAGAATCTACCTATCTCAGCCTTAAATATATACAAGGACTCTGCTCCACATCTCTTTGGCAAGGAATTACAAATATTCTCAACTCAGATGAGGAGGAATATCTTCTCTCACTGTTTTGAATAGGCACCCCTTAATTCTGAGACCAAGCTGACTGGTTCTAGGCTCTCCCATGAAGGGAAGCATCCTCTCAGCATTTACCCTGTCAAGTCCCTTAAGAATTCTGTATATTTCAATGAGATCACCTCTCATTCTCCAAAATTCTAATGAGTAGAGTACCAACCTGCTTAGCATTTGCTCATAAGACAATCCCTCCATACCATGGATCATCCTAGTTAACCTTTTGTGAACTGCCTCCAATAAAATAATATCTTTCATTAAGTAAGGGAACTTACAGAACTCTAGAAGTTGTCTCACTAGCACCCACAGTAAGACTTCCCTACTCTTATACTCCAACATCCTTGAAATAAGGGCCAACGTTCCATTAGCCTTCTTGATTATCTACTGCATCAGTGTGCTAGCTTTGTGTTTCATGCACAAGTACCCCAAGTCCTTCTGTTTTTCAGGTTTCTGCCGTTTTTCTGCATTCTGTTCTTTTGTTTTCCCTTCTAGAATGAACAACTTTACATTTTCCCACCTTAAACTCCATTTGCCATCTTTTTGCCTACTTACTTAACCTATCAAAATTTCTTTTTAAACCATTTGTATCATCTTATTACCTACCTTTCCACCTATTTTTGTGTCACCTGCAGATTTGGCTACAGTATGTTCACCTCCTTCAAAGTCATTAATATATGTTGTAAACAGTTGCAGTCCCAGCACTGATCCCTATGGAACCGCACTGGTCTCGGGCAAAAGCACCCCTTATCCCCACTTGCTGTTTCTTGCCAATTAGCCAGTTCTGTATCCAGGCCAGTGTACTACCTCCAACACCATAGGATGTTATGACACAAACTTTTGTGAGGTACCTTGCCAAACGCCTTCTGGAAGTCCAAATACAACACATCTTCTGCACCCCCCACCCCAATCCAGTCTGATTGAAACTTCCTTGGAAAGCTAATAAATTAGTCTCTCACAATTTCCCTTTCGTGAAGCTGTGCTGACTCTGCTTGATTAAATTTGGATTTTCCACATGTTGTCCTATTAATTTCTTAACAATTGATTCCAATGCTTTTACAGCTATAGAGATGTTAGGCTCATCAGCCTGTAATTACCTGCATTTGCTTCCCTCCCTTTTTGAATGTGGACATCACACTGGCAGTATTGGATTCCTGTGGTAATTCTCCACAATCAAAGGAGTTTTGGAAAAATACAACCAATGCACCCACTATCTCTATAGCTACCTCTTTAGTATTCAAGCCATCAGGGCAGAGGGACTTATCTTCCTTTAGTCCCAATAGTTTTTCTAATAATATATCTTTAGTGATCATGATGGTACTTCATTCCTCACACCATATTCTTTAGTATTAATGGGATGTTCAAAGTATCTCCCACTGTAAAGACTGCTGCAAATTATCTGTTTAACTCCTCTGCCATTTCCTTGTTCCCCATAACCATTGATCCAGATTAATTTTCTAAGGGGCCTATGTTCACAATGACCTCTCTCTTCCCTTTTATGTATTTAAAGAAGCTCTTCTGGTTTTATAATTTCTCACTTATTTGCCCTTGTAGCTTATTTTCTCTGTATATAATATTATCCTCGTTTCATTTCTTATTAACGGTGCTACCCAACCAACTTTTCCATGCCCTCCTGTCTTTCTGAAAGGTCAAATATCCATATGTTATGTTTCCAGTTTTAATCATCTTGTAACCATGTTCCGTAATGGCAATGAGATCATATTTATTTACCTCGATTTGCACTGTCAGTTTGTCAACCTTATTCCAAATGCTTCATACATTAAGATGCAAAGATAGGTTTAAATTTGTTTTCTAATCAAATTTCTATACACATTTATGGTTCCTTGGTGCAACAAGGTATTTACACATTCTGTCCTTTTTAAATTTCTGGTAACAATCAGCCCCATCACTAACGTGCAACTCGACCTTCTCCTTTACCTTTGATTTTCTAATTTTCCATGCAACTGAACCCAAAACCCAACTATTTCATTTAAACCCTTAGCTACAGTCATGCTATGCCAGATCTCTGGTCCTAGTATGATAAATGTTGAGCTTGTCCCATCAAAGCAGCTCCCTCCTTCCTGAGTGACTGGTGCCAATGTCCCCTGAACTTGAACCTGATTTCTCCCACATCAACCTTTGAGTCACAAGTTTACATCTTTAACCTTGTTGACCCCATGCCAGGTAGTAATCTGGAGCTTCTTATCTTTTTTTGTTCTGCTCTTTAATTTAGCCTCTAGTTTCTCATATTCCCTCGGCAGAACATTTTTTCCTCATTCCACCTATGTCAATGGTACCTACATAGACCACAACAGCTGGATCTTTCACCTTCTCTCCCCTACTCTAAGTTCCTCTGCAGCCCAGATGAGAGATCCTGAAACCGTACACCAGGCAGGCAACATAGCCTTTGGGATTCCCAATACTGGCCACAGAGAGCAGTGTCAATTGTCCTGACTATACTGTCCCCGATTACAACCACATTTCTCTTTTCTCCCCATTCTCGAGTGATCCCTGGACCATGGTGCTACGATCAGTTTGCTCATCTTCCTTACAGCCCGTACTTCGTTCATACAGAAAGCAAGAATCTCAAACTTGTTAGACAAGCTCAAGAACTGAGGGTCCTTCTACATGCCTCGCTCATAGTCATACCCTCCTATCTCTGACGACTGACCACATTCAAGGTAGTCGATCTAAGGACTTTAACTGCCTTCTGAAACAATGTAACTCTTCCCCTTCCTGAAGTGTCATAGTGTTTGAAGTGCAGACTCCAACTCCGAGATGGAGTTTCTCAACCAACTAACACTTGGTACAGATGTGGTCACTATGAACCATAGTAGAGTTCACCAGCTCCCACAACATGCAGGTACAACACATCACCTGGCCCTGCATCTCTATTTTATTTACTTGGCTCTTAATTTGGTTTGTTAAAATTTTCTATCTGAAGTGGATACACTGATGATATAATTTTTTTAGTGTTTTTAAAACTGTAGTTGTATGTTTTTAAACAAATAAATACAGAAGCAAAAACAATGACTTTGTATTTTTGATAGATCATCCTATAATGATGGGATTTGAACCACTGGTCAATCAGAGATTGTTACCTCCAACGTTCCCTCGCTATGCAAAAATTATAAAACGAGAGGATATGGTCAACTATTTTGCTAAACTTATAGAGCGAATAAAAATGGTTTGTGAGGTTGTCAACTTGACAAACCTGCACAATATTTTGGTAAGTTCAATATTTATGTATAATTTCCTAAAACCTCTTAACTGTTCAGATGATTCTCGGGGATAAACTGACTTTGAAATATAAAACATCCTTTGAAACAGGAGTTGTATTTATGCCACCAACTTGTAACAGCGCAGTAAAGCAGTTTTTTGCTATGCAATGCCAATGTTGTTGGGGAAGCAAAGACGGATGCAAGCAAACTCGAAATGAACTGCGGTGTGATTGCCAAAACACAACACCTGCAATTTCGTACCCGTGGTAAAATAGTTTCTCACTTTTGAACCAAGAAACAAAAAAAAGTCAAGTAATTTATACAAAGTCACTTTCCTGGACTCAATGAAAAGCAAACTGCGGGAAATTGTTCATACTTTTTCAGCTATGCAGGTTAAAACTATTTATTTTGAGATCCTTGTTTCTTTTTTGTTTTCTTTCATCACTCCCAGCTGCTTGTAAATCTTCTATAAAGCAGTTTTATAGTATAAATCTAATCCTGCTTTTTCTTTAGATAACAAAGTATAGAGCTGGATGAACACAGCAGGTCAAGCAGCATCGGAGGAGCAGGAAAGCTGACGTTTCGGGTGTTTCTGAAGAAAGGTCCAGACCCAAAACGTCAGCTTTGCTGCTTCTCTGATGCTGCTTGGCCTGCTGTGTTCATCCAGCCCTACACCTTGTTATCTCAGATTCTCCAGCATTGGCAGTTCCTACTATCCCTGCTTTTTCTTTGATTTTTTTTCAATTTGCCTGAGACTTTTTTGAAAGTGCCACTCTTTCTCTTTTAGTTGGCAGAGTAGCCTACAGGCTTCATCACAGCTGCCATCAGTGCTGTTTTTGTGATTATCTGTCAAAAGATTAACTTTTTAGTTATCGTTCTTGATGTGTGAATAGCACTAGTGAGGCCCACACTTGCATGTTATTCCTAATTACTGCAAGAGGCCTTCTCTTTGAAGAGCCATGGTCATAATAGTTATTGTCCTCACATTGTGGCGTTAGATAGGAAAATCTAGGATAGTGACCCAGTGATGACAATTCTGTCATGTGGGCACCTGCAGCAACATAGAGAGCTATCAAAGCTGATTTTTGATCTTTGGAGCCAAGGCATAACCACAGTAACTAGACTGACCCTCTTTCTGTAATCATTGAATATTGGCTTGTACATTTGTTTGGATAGCAACACAATTGTTAAATGGAACAAAAAGTAAAAAACTGAAAATGCTGGAAGTATCAATTAAAATGGAAAACTGTAGAAACAAACAACAAGTACACAATAATATTTCAAGCATGGACTCTTGGTGAAGTGTCCTTACCGAAAATATGAATTTAGCTTTCATCTTCATAAGCGTTAAATAACTTGCAAATTGTTTTCAACTATTCTGTTAGATTGAACAGGTTTTATTTTAACCAATGAAAAAAATACAGTTGATCAAGTGGCTGAGTGGACATTTTTTCAGTTGAGGATTCTACAAAACATTTATGGCCATCTGCACAAAAAACATTTTATAGAGAAATGCTGTCATAAACAAAATCATTTTTAACAATATGCATGAGTGTTTAAAGATTGCTTTCATCTCAAAATATTTGAAATTTGTCTCTTCAGGTTATTTTTGGAGTGTTTTTAAACATTTTATTTTGTAGGACTTCTTCTGTGAATTTAGTGAACAGTCGCCTTGTGTGCTGTCTAGGTCTTTGTTACAGGTATGTAAGCTTTTACGTATTCTATACAATGTTCAAAAGATTGCACTTCCATTGTGTTTGCATATTTACTTATACTTGGATGTTATGTACTATCGATGGAGATTTCTGCTGAAAATCAAACAAACTTGCACAAATTTTAAAAGTTACCTCAATTTAAGTACTGTATTGAATAATTTATGCAGGACAGCTTTTTTTTAAAAATTAAGTTGATTTGTCTGATTCAAAGGTATCTGTTATGGTGCGTTTGTGACCTGAATATCCCACACATAATTTTGAAACAAAAATTATTACAGTTAGTTTACATTTATCTCAAATATTTTTGTTGCAGGCAACTTTCTTGGTTGATAACAAAAAGGTGTTTGGTATACATCTGATGCAAGATATGATCAAAGATGCTTTGAGATATTTTGTCAGTCCTCCTGTGCTTTCATCTAAGTGAGTAACTAAAATATTGTGATTTTTTTTAAGAGCAATATTTTTTGCATTTCCTGATCTGAACTTCATGTTAAATAAACAAATTGCTGCTTATCATGTTCAGTAGAGCCATTCCAATGCAATTCACAAATTGACTTAAAATGCTGGAAATAAACTTTAGTATAAGCTGGACATAACTACTCACTTGGTTCCATTCTTACTTGTGTAATTATAACAAAGGGTTTTGCTTGAATTGCTTCTCTTCGAGCTTCCACACATTACCTCTGGTGTCTCCCAAGGATTTATCCTTGTCCCCCCTCCCCTCCTTTCATCAATGTGCTGCTCCTTAGCAATGTTATCCAACAGCACAACGGTGTTTACGTATATACATTGATGACTTTCAATTCTGCCTCAGCACTACATCTCCAACTTCTCCAATGTTGCTAAATTATCAGACTGTATTTATTTGATGTCCAGTATTTGGATGGGCACAAACTCCTGCCGTTTAAATATCAGGAAGACTGAAATGTCGTTTTTGGTCCTGACTTCAAACTCCATTTGCCTAAACACTGATTCCATCCCTCTGTTTTGCAAGATTCGGAGACTAAACCAGTCTGTCTGCAATCTTAGTGTCATTTTTGACCCAAAGATGAGCTTCTGATCACATAGGTGCCAGTGCTAAGACTTCATTAAACTGTCTGAATTCACATCTGCCTCAGTTCAGTTGCTGCTGAAATTTTCATTCACCTTTTAATACTCCTATATTTGACTGTTCCAGTGATGATGGCCAGTTGCCCATATTGTCCCATCTGTAAATCTAAGGTCACCCAATAATCTAGTTGTATTTTGAGCTCATTGAATCCTTTTCCCCTGCCACCCTGTGCTCACTGATCTACACTGTTTATCAAGCAATGTTTTGATTTTAAAATTCTCGTTTCAAATCCTTATGTGACTTCACTCCTCCTTTCTTTGTATTCTCCTCCAGGCCCCAACCCCCCCATGTATCTGCACTCATTCCGCCTCTTGGACTTCCCTGATTATAATTACTCCATGTATTCAGTTCAGGTGTCCAGGACCAAGTTCTGAAGTTTCCTCCATACACTTCTCTGCATCTCTATCTTGCTTTCCCCATTTAAAGCATTCTTTGAAACCTACCTCAGCGACAATATTGCAGCTTATTGTCTTAAGCTGACGCTACAGTTTCCATTCCCATGCTCCAGATGCCATCTCTGGCAACTATTTAAGGCTAAGTTCAGCTGCTCACAACCTTGGTCACATGTTTGAGCCCGAGATGCATTACTGACTACATACTAAAATTGCCTACTTTCACTTCTAACATTGGCTGTTTCCTCTCTTATCTTAGCTTATCTGTGGCTGAAATCCACATCCATACCTTTTGAGACTGCAAGGCCCAACAATTGGAACATATACTCCTGGCTGACCATGCACATTCTTCCCTCTGTAAACTTGAACATTCAACATTCTGCTTTTTTTTTAGTTACAAGAAACCTCGCTTTCTTACATTAGCTTCCAGTTAAGCAATGCCTCAATTATTTTTAAAGAAGTCACATCCTTGTTTTTAAAGCCCTCCATTATTCCACCCCCTCCTTATCACCAATGTCTGCCAGCCCCACGCCCTTCAATTTATCTGCATTAATCTGATCCTGACTAACCAGGGACTAAATTGGACATTGCTTTATAAATTAGTGCTGTTTGATGAGACAAATATTTGAATATACTTTATAGTATCATGTGTTGAGCTGAATGTTTTTAAACACAGTATCCCTGCACCAGGTTGAGGAAGAGAAACACCAGCTGCTACCCACTATTCCAGTAATGCTGGCCATATGCTACAAGTCTGGCTGTTATATAAGAGCAGGATCAATCTCTAATCATGATGCCACTACAGTACCAAGACTCAGCACCTAGACTTTGACATAATAAGTGTCTGCTTAGAAGATGCACTGTGCAACGAACCTCCAAGTAAAGTTAGTCTTCAAGAATGAACCAGAGAAAGAGGATTACAGTCTAAATTTTCTGTGAATATACTTCTCAACTGAAAAGTGATGTCCTTTTGATAGAGAAGTGCTAAAAACATTCTCAAGACACCAAAAAGCATCGTACTCAAAGTGTTGAGCTGGTCAGGCTGTTTAGTTTGAATAGAAATGAGAAAGCATCTAACTTAAATGAAAACAGAAAATCCTGTTAGTTTGTCAGTATCTGGAAAAAATTTAAGCCTAAACTGTGAGAAAAGTCCTTTCTGAATATTCTTGTCTTGTAAAAATAAATGAATATTGTAGTCCTAATTTTTCCATTTTTGTTTAATTTCAGATGTTGCCTTTACAATAATCACCAAGCTAAGGATTATATAGACTCATTTGTCACTCACTGTGTTCGGGTAAGTAAATTGCCTCATTTGGTGCATAATCTTTGAAATTTCTCAAAGGGTAGCAATTTTGTTATTTTAGAAAAAATGTTTCTAGGTTCTTATTCTTCATTAAATTCAACACAACTATTTTCTACTAGTGCTGTTTGCTATTTGCTTACACCTTATCCTTTCTTTCTTTATTGTTCGATCTAATCTTTCTCTCCTGGCAGATGATTCCATGGATATTGCTGGCCTTTGATCTCTCATGGAAACGACATTCTTATATGGACCTAGATAACACAGTGTGGAGCTGGAGGGACACAGCAGGCCGGGCAGCATCAGAGGAACAGGAAAGCTGACGTTTTGGGTTGGGACCCTTCTTCAGAAATGGGGGAGGGGGAAGTCTTCCAGTTGCGAACCACCAACTCCCCCCTCCCACTCCCTGGACAACATGTCCATCCTGGGCCTCCTCCAGTGTCACAACGACGTCACCTGGAAACTGGAGGAGCAGCACCTCATATTCTGCCTTGGGAGCCTACAACCCAATGGTCTCAATGTGGACTTAACTATTTTCAAAATCTCCCCACCCCGGCCTCATCCCATGACCAACCCTCCCTCTCATCCCTGCCTCCTTGACCTCTCCGTCTTCTCTCCACCTATCCACTCCTCCCACCTCACTGACCAATCCCCACCACTCCCTACCTGCACTTACCTATTACCATCCCACCTACCTTCCCCAGCTCCACCCCTCCTCTCTCTATTTATTTCAGAGCTCCCTTCCCCTTCCCCCATTTCTGAAGGGTCCAGACCCAAAACATCAGCTTTCCTGTTCCTCTGATGCTGCCTGGCCTGCTGTGTTCCTCCAGCTCCACACTGTGTTATCTCTGACTCCAGCATCGGCAGTTCTTACTATCTCTTACATGAACCTAGAGAGTTAAAATCAATGGAGCTGTTTGACTCTATGGATGTGGGATTGGGTGTGTCTGTATATGTCAGGATCACACGGAGGAGTGGGGAATCGCCTGATTTGATAATCTGGTCAATTTAACATTACTGGGGCCCTCTTGTGGTGCAGTTATAGAGGCCGTTCCCCTGGACCGAGAGACCTGGGTTCAAGTCCCACTTGTTCCAGAGATGTGTACTCAGAACAGGTTGTTTAGAATCATAGAGTTATTCAGCATGGAAACAGACCCTTCATTCCAACTCGTCCATGCTGACCAGATAGCTTAAGTGATCAGTACTATTTGCCAGCATTTGGCACATATCCCTATAAGTCCTTCTATTCATGTACCCATCCAGATGCCATTTTATTGTTGTAATTCCACCCGCCTCCTCCACTTGCTCTGGCAGTTCATTACATACATGCACCACCCTCTGCATGAAAAAGTTGCCTCTTAGGTCCCTTTTAAATCTTTCCTCCTTATCTTAAATTTATGCCCTCTAGTTTTGGACTCCCCTACCCTGGAAAAAAGACCTTGGCTATTCACCCTATGGCTGTGCACCTCATGATTTTATAAACCTCTGTAAGACCACCCCTCCATCTCTAATGCTCCAGGGAAAAGAGCTCCAGCCTATTCAGCCTCTCCCTGTAGCTCAAATCCTCCAATCCTGGTGACATCCTTGTAAATCTTTTCTGAACCCTTTCAAGTTTAACAACATCTTTCCAAAGCAGAGAGACCAGAATTGAAGGTGGTATTGTAGAAGTGGCCTAAGCAATGCCCTGCACAGCCGCAACATGACATCCGAACCACTATACTCAATGCACTGAGCAATGAAGGCAAGCGTGCCAAATGCCACCTTCAACATTCTGAAGACTTGCTACTTCACTTTCAAGAAACTGTGCACCTGCACCCCAGGTCCCTTTGTTTGGCAACAGTCCCCAGCGCTCTACCATAAGTCCTGCCCTGAATTTCCTTACCAAAATGCAACATCTCACATTTATCGAAATTAAACTCCATCTGCCACTCCTCGCCCATTGGCCCATCTGATCCAGGTCCCGTTGTGCTTTGAGATAACCTTCTTCACTGTCCACCACACCACCAATTTTAGTGTCATCTGCAAACTTGCTAACCATACCACCTATATTCACATCCAAATCATTTATATAAATGACAAAAAAACGCTGGACCCAGCATCAAACCTTGCAACACACCACTGATCACAGGCCTCCAGTCTGAAAAGCAACCCTCCACCACCACTCTGTCTCCGACCTTCAAGCTAACTTTGTATCCAATTGGCTTACTCTCCCTAGATTCCATGTGATCTCACTTTGCTATCCAGTCTACCATGCAGAACCTTGTCAAACACCTTGCTGAAGACCATATCTACCACGCTGCCTTCATCAATCTTCTTTGTTACTTCTTCAAAAATCAAGTTAATGAGACACGATTTCCTATGCACCAAGCAATGTTGACTGCCTAATCGGTGTTTGCCTTTCCAAATGCATGTAAATCCTGTCTCTCAGAATCCCCTCCAAAAATGTACCCACTATTGGGTCGGGATCACCAGTCTGCAGTTCCCTAACTTCTTGTTACCACCTTTATGAAATAATGGCACCATGTTAGCCAACGTCCAGTCTTCCAGCACCCCAGATGTGGCTATCAATTATACATGTATCTCATCAAGAGGCCCAGCAATTGCTTCCCTAGCTTCCCACAAAGTTCTGGGATACACATGGCCAGGTCTTGGGGATTTATCCACGGTTGAGTTTTAAGGCGTCCAGCACCACCTCTTCTGTTATATGGACACTTTTCAGGGTATCATTTTTTATTTCCCCAAGTTCTCTACTTCATGCCCTTCTCCACACTAAATACTGACACAAAATATTTGTTTAGTATCTCACCAATCTCCTGTAGTTCCACATATAGACTGCTTTGTTGATCTTTAAGGGGTCCTATACTTTCTCTAGTTACTCTTTTGTCCTTAATGTATTTGTAGAATCTCTTTGGATTCTCCTTAACCCTATTTGCCAAAGCTATCTCATGTCTCCTTTTGGCCCTCCTGAAATTCCTCTTGAGTATAATCCTACTGCCCTTATACTCCTATAGGGATTCATTCAATCCCAGCTGCCTATACCTGACATATGCTTCGTCTTTTTTTCTTGACGAGAGCCTCAATTTCTCTGTCATCCAGTATTCCTTATTTATTTCTGACTTATTGTTTAAACACTAAGTAATGCTACTTTTTCCTTTTATTCCTCTTTTTTTGTAGCTAAGATTTGTACCTAGGTACTTGCACCTCACGTGACACCATTAGAGGCAGTCACTGTACTTCTGTACTGGAGTACACGTGATAATAAAGGATATTCTATTATATTATTTGCCATGCCATGTCATGTTGTTCTATTCCCTACATCTACCAGCCTTGCCCTTCACTTAACAGGAACATACAGTCTCTGAACTCTCGTTATCGCATTTTTAAAGGCCTCCCACTTTCCAAACATCCCTTTACCTGCAAATAGCCTCTCCCAATCAACTTTTGAAAGTTCCTACCTAATCTTGTCAAAATTGGCCTTCCTCCAATTCAGGACTTTACCTTTTTGATCCGGTTTATCGTTTTCCATAACTATTTTAAAATTAATAGAACTAGGATCCCAAAGTGCTCCCCCACTGACACCTGAGTCACTTGCTGTGCCTTCCTTCTCAAGAGAAGGTCAGGTTTTGCTCCTTCCGTATAGGTACATCCACATACTGAATCAGAAAATTTTCTTGTATACACCTAACATTGCTCTCCATCCAAGCCCTTAACCCTATGACGGCCCCAATCTATGTTTGGAAAGTTAAAATCCCTTACCATTACCACCCTATTATTCTCACAGATAACTGAGATCTCCTTACAAATTTGCTTCTCAATTTCCCACTGACTGTTGGGGGATCGATAGTACAAATCCCAATAATGTGATCAGCTCTTTCCTGTTTCTCAGTTCCACTGACTATAATTTCACTGGATGTTCTCCCAGGATATCCCCCCTAAGTACAGCCGTAATATTATCTGTAACCAAAAACACTGTTTCTCCCTCCTGTATTGCTCCTCTTTCTATCCTTCCTGTAACATCTATACCCGGGAACGTTTAAGCTGCCAAATCTGCCCTTCCCTGAGCCACGTTTCTGTAATAACGATGATATCCCAGTTCCTTGTTCCTAACCATTCCCTGAGTTCATCTATCTTACCTGTCAGTCCTCTGGCATTGAAATAAATGCAGTTTAATTTTTCAGTCTTACCTCATTCACTGCCTTGCTCTTGCAAGCCTTGGCTATTTAACTTGCTCCTCTTCTCTACTGTACCAGCCTCAGAGTTCTCTTTTTCTCACTATGTCTTTGGGTATCCAGAGATGCTTGTAATTTCACAGTCAGTCACAGAATCATAGAATCCCAACAGTGTGGAGCGGGCTATTCAACCCATTGAGTTTCTCAACAGCATCCCACCCAGACCCAGCCCATGGCTAACCCACCCAGCCTTCACATTCCCGGATACAATGAGCAATTTAGCACAGCCAGTCCAGCTAACCCGTACATCTTTGAACTGTAGGAAGAAACCGGCACACCTGGACAAAACCCACACAGTCATGGAGAGATTGTACAAACTCTGCACAGAGTGTTGCCGGAGGGTGGAATCGAACCCAGATCCATGGCGTGGTGAGGCAGCAGTGCTTACCACTGAGCCACCACGCTGCCACAGTCATCTGTGAAAGTTCACTGCTTGTTTCTTTTGATGTATTCTTGTTGATCTCTAGAGCCGTTCTCCGATCTCTCCACATAGTGACTCTCCTGAGAAAAATAGATTTCTTAACAAAGAGCTTAACCTTTCTACTGAAACTTGGCTGCAATTATTGCATGAACTAGGCATCAAATTTGGGTCAATTCTGGACTGCGTACTCATTACTAGATGTTTTGTTCACTTACCATTAAACTCTTTCCGTTATCCCCCTGGAAACAGTGGATATTACTGTTTAATGTAGTCATTCTCAAACTGGGACTTTCTTACCCTTGGGGTCCACAGAACTTTTCCAGGAGTCTACTTTGTAAACTCAATCATTAGTAGCACATTTGCAAGCCTGTGGCTCTGACCGTTATTTTGGTAGTTTCCCATCAATTCATCAGGCAACTCCAGCTTTCACTATACTGGTGCAGGAGTTTTTCAAATTTGTCTGAATATGCAGTTGATTCACATACAGTCATCACATGTTGCCCAATTAATGAACCAATCAAAGTAGTATTTTCTGGTCACAAACAGCCAGTTTAAACATGGCCTCACCCTTTTCTAAGAGCATGATGTGCAGAAAGAGAAAACTAATAAAAGGATTTGACTGCAGCACATGATGGGAAATATAATTTGGACTAGACTGTAGTTATACTGCATGTTATGAATTTGAAGTGATGTCACTGCACTGAGAAGTAAAACCAGCTGTTGCCAGTCATCTGTAAAGGAGACCATTGGTGAGAACCTCATTGTATTTGGTGGTTTCATGAGTTATGATCATACATGTGTGAATTATTTCAAAAATGAAATATTTGTAACAAACTATTATGCGATTAGGGGGTCAGTCATTTCAAATTGACTAGATGGCTAGAGTTGAACAAATCACTAGAGTTGATCAAGAGAAAGAACAATAGTCATTAAAAACTCATATATAACATTAGTTCCAGAAAAGGCCTTGAAGTATCCGTTTTAACAGCATTTCGGATTTCTAAAAGAAAGAAAACTCGGTCATAGCATCATTCCCAACATCAAGGTGCCTGTTGGACCATCAAGTCCATGCCTGCTCTTCTCCCAACTGTACAGTCAGGCTCAGTCTCCTGTTTGATGCCCCATAGCCCTGCTGGTTAATTTTCTTCAAGTGCCCATCTAGTTTCTTTTTGTAATCATTGATTGTTTCCGATTCCACCACCCTCATAGGCACGGAGTTCCAGATCATTACCACTCATTACATTAAAAAAATTCTTCTTCACAACCCCTTGCAACTTTTGTCAGAAACCTTAAATCTTTGTCCTTTAGTCCTTGTGCTATCAGCCAATGGAAACAGTTATTCCTGTTCTGCTAGCCATTTATTTTGTGTCCTCTTCAGATTATCAGTCCTATATCAGCAAAGCGTGCTTTAGAAATGTACAAAGTGACAATGAATGAAGATACAGCTTGAAATTTGAAGGCCATATCTCTTTCTAATGTTACAGAAGAATCAAAGTGCTTGAGAAGAAATGAAATGAGAATTTGATAAGCTTTGTATATGTGAAGCATTTGCAGTTGTGCTTAAAGAAACAATGGATGTTGATAGTACAGCACAATTATTAGCATAATTGTGTGGTGAGGGGAAATTTTAGAACTTTTTTTTCAGGTATTAACAAACTAAGCATTGAGAAAGGAAGTATTCATACTACTGAATAATTTCATAGAATCAGAATTGCCAAGTGGGACAACTGTACTGCTGTTTTCTTAAACATTGCTCATGCTATGACGAGCAGTAGGATTGGTGTTGTTGCAAGAATAAATCCATTAGTAATGTTATATGTTATCACCAAACCTGCCTTCGAAAAGAATGGAACCTGAAAATCATGCTGTTAAATGTAGCTGTGACAACGGTAAATTTTGTGAAATCCAGACTTGTTAATTCACAACTGTCTGCAAAGCTGTGTTCAGAGATAAGTGCAGGTCATGAAAAATTAGTGGCCCTGATCTTCCAAGGATCAGCAATTATTGTCAGATTGCTACTGTGCTTGAACTTCCATTCAAGAGCTCTACCACAATATTTTAGAACCAGAGTGGAGGTGGGCAAGACAGCTCCTTTCTTCTCACAGTAATGACTGCCATATTGTAAGATTAAAGGTCCAGGTTGAATATGGGTGAGTGTATGAATGTGGGTGAAGAGGTGATTGGGAAGTGGGGATGGTCATATGAATAATTGAGATGTTCAGTTCTGGAGTTATTCAGGAGTTGGATCATTTTTACAAAGTTTTTTTTTTATCTTGTCAAACATTTTCAGGGTAATTATTTCAGTAATTCCCGCAGAACTATCTGTTGTCTGTGACTCTCGCTGTGAGTCAGAGACATTCACACAGGGTTCTAGGAAACAGGGAATTACCAGTTGGAAGTTGAAACTCCCTAGGCAATTCTGAGCTATTGTTTCATCCTGAAGTATGTTGGTCATCTCTGTCAACCTCGGAAAGAGTTTTTGAGCTTCATGGAGCTACTGGCTTTTCTTTGAGCACAATTCTTAAAAACTGCTTTTTATTTCTAATTTGAATTGGGGTGGCACAGTGGCTCAGTGGTTAGCACTGCTGCCTCACAGCACCAGGGACCCGGGTTCAATTCTACCCTCGGGCGACTGTCTGTGTGGAGTTTGCACATTCTCTCCGTGTCTGCGTGGGTTTCCTCCTGGTGCTCCGGTTTCCTCCCACAGTCCAAAGATGTGCAGGTTAGGTGGATTGGCCGTGCTAAATTGCCCGTAGTGTCCAGGGGTGTTTAGGTTAGGTGGGTTAGACATGGGGAAATGCAGGGGTAGGCAAATGAGTCTAGGTGGGATGCTCTTTGGAGGGGCGGTGTGGACTAGTTGGGCTGAATGGCCTGTTTCCACACTGCAGGGATTCTGTGATCTTCTATGATCTATGAACCCCTCTGACCAATTTATAGAAGTAAACTTACAATCTTGCTGATTTGCTGAATTTATCAGCAAAAGGGGAAATATGACAATAATCAAAGTATGTGACAAGATTGAAACGATTAGGAAGAAAATTGTGGTTCGGAAGCAGAGGTTATATAGAGCAGTGGAGTTTCAGATCCATTTCAATGACTGGATACAAACACAATGACAGTGCGAATGAAAGGATCATTGTACAGAATTGGCAGAGTGCTTCAGTGTTTATTTTGAAAATGAAAAAGAGCAACTAATTATGAATAGCTTCAGCATCCATTTACAATATTTATAACGTCTACTTGTTTCCAAATTGAAAATACAGAAGAATGGTTTATGGAGCTATCCTGCAACTATGTAATAAGATTTAAGTATCAAGAACAAATACCTTCACCTACATTTGGCCATTTGTTGCTGCAGTGTACTCAGAATTTATTTTAAAAGAAATAATTAAAACTTTCCTACCTTTGCAGCAAAATATATTTTTTGCTACAGCAGCAGTGAAGATAAAATACAGGCCATGTCTGGAAGTGCAAAAGGATGTTAAAATGACATTGTTAAACATTACGCCAAAAACGTTGGCCTCTTTAGTTAAACAGTCTGTATATACTTATCACAAAAGCTTTATTAAAACACTCTTTACATGCAGCACTTTCACATTACTGGTATTATGTATTATAATTTAGGGTAGGTAAGTAACTACCCAGAGTCCAGGAGAAATGTAGGCATCTCTGTCTATTTTAGAGAGAGAATTTGCTTACAGCTTATATTACCTTATATTTAAGAAGGGGTAGAATCTATGGATTGAACCCCTGCTATTTTGGTAAACCTGTACCACATGCTAATCATCTCGCCAACTGAGCTTAATCAGCGAATATAAAATGTTAATGAGTTATATATATCTCATTTGTTCAGGTATCAGAAGTTTAAGGATATTATTGTGTATGTGACACTGACAGTCATGGTGGAAGATTTGAAAGATTTAAACTTCTGAGTTCTTAATTAACCGTTGGTTTATTTCTTCTAGCCATTTTGTAGTTTGATCCAGATTCATGGACACAACAGAGCTCGCCAGAGAGATAAACTTGGCCACAGCCTAGAGGAGTTTGCCACTCTCCAGGATGAGGTATTTTCCGTGAACTATGAAACGAAAAGAGGGAGGAACTTGTTTTCTATGATACCTTTCACACCCTCAGGACATTCCAAGATGTCCTGATGAGGTCGTTTTTGAAGTGGAATATAGCAAAGCATGACAACCAATGATGTCCCAAAGACGACAATGAGAAAAATCTTATAATCTGTTTTGAAATGTTTATTGATAGATAAATATATGTCAAGATACCAGAAGAACTTCCTGCCTTCTTCAAAAAAAGTGCCGTACTCCCTTATGACTGCCTTATAGTGAAATGTGGAACCTTGGTTTAGTGTCCTACCCAAAGCAGAGACGAGGCATATTCACACGCTCTCAGCTGTAGTTAGTAACAGGATGGTACTTCTTCCAGGGTATATTTCTTCTCTAGGTTGGCAATCAATTATTTTGGGATGATCCCCAAGGGGAATTTTACTAAATTATCTCCAATGAAGAAGTTACTAACAAGATAGTTTTCTTTTTGTACCTTTTGACTTTTAAAATTAATCAGCCAACACAAATTAAACATGAATTAAAAGATAAAAAATACTTCAAATAAAAAAAGTAAATTCCACTTTAAATATATGAGCAAAGATACATTTTATGCAGTTGCATGCATTCATCATTCTTCACAAATGGGTGGCGCAGCATGGCTATACAGTACTACACATGCTGTTCTTTATTCATGCAGGTTGTTTGAGGAGTCCTATCCAACAATAGCTTTCACCTATGAGTCTGATCATCAGCAAGGCATGCTAGTACAATCCTCTTTTCCTCTGATATCAACAAATCTGATGGAGTAGCTTTCCAAAGTTCACTTCTGGGAAAATACTTGGCTCTTTAACATCTCCAACCTATTCATACGGCTTTCCAGGATTCAGACCAATTCAGTGTGTCTCTGGAATTCATATCTCATTTTCTATCAGACAGAAGAACTGAACTCTTATTGATAGAAAAATATTAGTTTCTTCTCTCAGAAATTTGATGTTTCACTCTTTCTCTGACTGCAGTCATGTCTCAATATGGGCTTCATCCTTCAAAAACTGTGCTATAGCGCTCCTTTGTGTCTGTATTTGTCCTTTACGTCCAGTCACATGACGCTCATTTATTAACTGTCTTCCATTTGATATTGCTTTCAGTCAAGGGTTGCCAGGTTATATGGGCTACTACTTCTACTTATTCAAGAAAATTACCATAAATCCTAGCATACAAAACCATCCCATTTTGTTTCAGTCCCAATAATCATGATTTTACACATACTCTGCATTGTAACATGTCCAACCAAATGTTAAACTCTCATTTAGTAGTCAGCCTCTGTTTTCTCCTCACAAATACATGTTTTATTAATTGGTACCTTACAATTAGGCATAAGGGATCAATCATGTAATATGGACTGTGTTGCAAATGTGCAAGGGAGTTTAAGACACACCAGTCTTTGAGTCAGAAGCAGATGATATTTCAAATGATGACCACCATTTCACTTTTATGCTTGACATATAAGTCAACCCACATTTTTGGAGGAATTTTTCAAGGCTTCAGAAGTCACTTGTATGCCAACATCTATGATCCCTTTAAAATCAATGCAAACTTTTAAAAGTCTTTTTCGTCATTCATAAAGCCAATTACAGATTCTGGATCGGGGTCATCACAATTTATATCCACCAGTCAACTAATGAATAAAACTTCTAAAAACTTAATTAATTTTCTTTTAATGAACATAAGCAGTGTTCCTGAACAACCAAAAAATCTCGTACAGGGTACACTGTCTATTAAATATATCAATAATTGTCACCAAACAGAAGACCACCACTCTGCCTGTCCTATCTGCACCGGTTATGTGACCATTTGGACTTGGTGTCAAACTTCCTGACCTTTCCTCATAACTCTGTACGTTGGACGATTTTTTAAAATAGAAGCAGTGTCCTTTTGAATGCTTTAATTGAATCTATCTCCACCACACCTTCAGGTAGTGTATCCCAAAGCTGAATGACTTGCTGTGTGAAAAATTGTTTTGTCACTCTGTATTTGCTTCTTTTGCAAAGTCCTGTAAAGCTGTGCCCTCTGATTCTCATTTGCAACTGAGAGCAGTTTTTCCCTATATACTCTGTCCAGACCTTCATGATCTAGAAAACTTCAGCCAAATCTTCCCCGAGCCTTCAGTTCCCCAAGGAACCTTGAATCATTTTGTTTCATAGAAATGCAAATCTTGTAACATAGAGGTACAGTACTTCAGCGAGCCTGCAATCCCAGTAGAAATCTGTACTTGAAAAGAAGAACAGGGCAGGGAGTTGGTTTTATGGTGTGTACCACTTCCTGCTGGAAGTACATAATCACTGAATTTACATTTACGTGACTAATGTAACATTATGCTACTGTTCTAGTACATTTTTGTCATATAAAGTCATCTCGAGTTGCACGTTAATTTTGATTTTAAATTCTTGTGATTATAATGTGATAAATGTTCAAAGGAGGGTCTTGAATCCAAGACAAGAAGCAACCTTTTTTAAAAAAAAAAGTTATTCTGACATTGAAAATGAACAATAGGAGCAAAGCTTGAAGAATTCAAAGAACAGTAAAAGATAGAAAATCTTCCAAGAATAGGGAAAGGATGTGTAGAAAAAGATTTACTTTGTCCAAGACTGGGATGGAAAATCAAAAGGATAAGTGGCAGATGTTTACAATATTATATTTGATAGTTATATTGTGTTGATGTAACATCCTGGCACTTAAGTAATGTGATGTCTGTCACAGAAAAAGCAGTTCCATAGAGATTCTTAATTTGTCTGAACTGACCAGCAAACACTAATAATATGGTAACTAGAGCCTGATTTCTGCATGGCACAGTCAACCAAACAAAAGATCATATTGTTTTCAATGCTATGTTTGCAATAACAAGTTTCTCACAGAGGAAAACTGAAAATATAGGAAGTTGAAAGGGAAAAGCAATGACTAGAGAGGGGAGAAAAGCTTTAAACAGTTTTTTTTTCAAATAGAGATAGTAGGAACTGCAGATGCTGGAGAATCTGAGATAACAAG